TGTTTCCGTGCTGTATGACTCTATGATTGCAAATGCCAATACATTATCCTTACACTATGAGCATTCATTTTCTGCAATAACTTTTCAAGTGGTACATTATCAAATGCCTTCTGGAAACTCCAGTACAATATAGCTCTCCTTTATATATGTTACTTCCTCAAATAACTCCAATAGATTAAACATGACTTCCCTTTCACAAATCCATGTTGAATTTGCCCGATTACTACAACTTAAGTGTCTGCTATACAATCTCTTTCGTAACAGCTTCTAATATTTTGTCTTTAATAGATATTCAGCTAAAAGCCCTGCTCTTTAGCTTCTACTTTCTATTTCCCATCATTTTGAATAAATGAGTTACTTTCACTATCTTCCAATCTCATGGGACCTTTCTCGAATCAGGGGAGCTTTGGAAAATTAAAACAAAATCCTCACTATTTCTCTGGTAATTGTAATTTTCCTGAGCTCCCCCTCCCCTCCATTTCCTGATACATAGCTGCTTCTGGGATGTTACTTGCATTGGCTACAGTAAAAACTGATGCAAAATACCTGTTCAATTCATCTTTCACATCTATTTCACATCATCAAATCTGCAGCAACATTCAATCCTATTATGGTCATTGCTATCTAGAGACATCTTTGCTATGAGAGCCTTAATTAATCCTATCTCAATGTTCAAATCCAGTCCAGTATTACCTGCACTCTGGTGGACTCCAGAACATGCTGTTCTGAGAAATTCTCCTGAAAACATTCTCTGAAACATCAGTGAGGCTATTTTGGTCCAACTAACTTTTCTGTTCTACATGTAGATTAAAAACGCCCATGATTATTGCTGTGTTTCTGACAAACTCCTATTATTTCTTCCTTTATCCTCCAACCCACCAGGTGGTTACTGTTCAGAGGCCTGTACAGAACATAGTGACTTTTGTCTTTATTATTTCCCATCTCTACCTGAACTGTATCCACATTCTGGTTTCCTGAACTGAGCTCATCTCCATCTAAAGTTCTAAGACCTTAGGTAACTAACAAAGCCACTCTTTCACCTGTTCCTAGCTTTCAGTCCTTCCTAAATTTCCTCCGTTCCTTTCAATATTAAGGTTCCAATTCATATCAACTGTAGCCATTTTTCTGTAATGGCCATCAGATCTGGTTATGGATTTATATTTCTGTGCTCTCAGTTCCTCTGTTTTGCTTCGAGTGTTTAGTTGTATCCATTTATTCATTATGCAACCTCCGGTCTTATTGGTTAATTTACTTTTAGATTTCTACACTCTATCCCTTCCTAACACTCGAGGAAGCCCAGCGCAGACTCCCTGCTTTAGAAGGGCTGTAATACTGAACCTTCTCTTTTATTTTTCTCATTTATACCTAAGATTGTGTACTTAGGTATCTTTGTACCTAAGATGGCGCTGGGAAATAGCAACTTTGTATACTTTTCACTAGACTCATGTGTCCCTGTACCTATGTGACAATAAACCTAATTCTAATTATTCTGATTAAAACATAGAAACATGGAAGATAGAAGCAGGAGGAGGCCCTTTGAGCCTGCTCCACCATTCATCATGATCATGGCTGATTGTCCATTTCAACAGCCTAATCCTGCTTTCTCCCCATAACTTTTGATCGCATTTGCCACAAGTGCTATATCTAGTCACCTCTTGAATACGTTCAATGTTTTGGCATCAACTACTTCCTGTGGTAATGAATTCCACAGGCTCACCACTCTTTGGGTGAAGAAATGTCTCATCTCCATCCTAAATGGTCTACCCCGAATTCTCAGACTGTGACCCCTGGTTCTGGACACACCCACCATCGGGAACATCCTCCCTGCATCTCCCTGTCTAGCCCTGTTAAAATTTTATAATCTCTATGAGATACCCTCCTCATTCATCCGAACTCCAGCAAAAACAATCCTAATCTAATCAATCTCTGCTCATACATCATTCCTGCCATCCCCGGAATCAGCCTTCACTGCACTCCCTCAACAGGAGGAGCATCCTTCCTCAGAAAAGGGAACAAAAACTGCACAATATTCTAGGTGTGGCCTCATCAAGGCCCTGTATAATTGCAACAACACATCCCTGCTCCTGTCCTAGAAACCTCACGCAATGAAGGCCAACATACCATATGCCTTCTTTACTGCCTGCTGCGCTTGCATACTTACCTTCAACGACTGGTGCACAAGGACACCCAGGTCCCAGTGCACACTCCCTTCTCCCAGTTTACAGCCATTCAGGTAGTAATCTGCCATTTATCCAAATTGTACTGTATCTGCCATTGATTTGCCCACTCACCCAACCTGTCCAGATCATGCTGAAGGATCGCTGCATTCTTGTCACAGGTCACCCTCCCTTCCAACTTGGCATCATCTGCAAAATTTGACGTTACATTTTGTTCCCTCATCCAAATCATTAATATATACATTGTGAATAGCTAGGGTCCCAGCACTGATTCCTGTGGCACACCACCAGTTACTGCCTGCCAATTTGAAAAAGACCCTTAATTCCTACAATTTGTTCCTCTCTGCCAACCAGTTTTCTATCCATCTCAATAACTTCACCTAATCCCATGCTCTTTAATCTTGCACAATAATGTCTTAGGTGGGACTTTGTTAAACACTCTCTGAAAGTCCAAATACACCACATCAACTGGCTTCCCCTTATCAACTCTACTAGTTACATCTTCATAGAATTTCAATAGATTTTTCAAGCATGGTTTCCTCTTCATAAATCCATGCTGACTCTGTCTGATCCTACCACTGCTTTCTAAATTTCTAAATGCTCTGCTATAAAGTCCTTGATAATAGATTCAAGAATGTTCCCCATTACCAATGTTAGGCTTAATGGTCTATAATTCCCTGTTTTCTCTCAATCTCCCTTTTTGAATAACCAAGTGACATTAGCTACTCACCAACCTGCAGGGACTGTTCCAGAGTCTATATAATCCTGGGAGATGACCTCCAATGCATCCACTATTTTTAAAGCCACTTCCTTAAGTACTCTGGAATAAAGATTATTGGCCCGAGGATTTATCCTCAATCCCATCAATTTTCCCAGCATAATTCCTCTACTGATTTTGATCTTCTTAAATTCTTCCCTCTGAATAAACCTTACATTTTCCAACATTTCTGGTATTTGATTTGAGGACAGAACCAACGTATATATTCAGTTGCACAGCCATTTCTTTGTCCCCTGTTATACATTCCCCTGTTTCTGTCTGTAGGGGCCTATATTTGTCTTCACCAATCTCTTTCTCTTCATGCACTTATAGAAACTCTTACTGTCAGCCTTTATGTTCCCTGCAAGCTTACTTTCGTACTCTAGTTTCCCCTTCTTAATCAATCCCTTGGTCCTTCTTGGCTGAAATCTAAACTGCTCCCAATCCTCAGACATATTATTTTTCTTGACCAATCTATATGCTTCTTCCTTGGATCAGATACTATCTCTAATTTCCTTTGTGAGCCATAGATTGGCCCTCTTACCCATTTTGCTTTTGTGCCAGACAGGAATAAACAGTTATTGCAGTTCCCCCATGCGTTCCTTGAATGTTTGCCTTGCCTATCCACTGCCATATCCCTTTAAATAACTCTCTCCAATCTATCAAGGCGAACTCACCCTTCATATCTTCTTAGTTTCCTTTATTAAGATTCAGCAACCTAGTCTCCAAATCAACTACTTCACTCTCCATCTTGATAAAAAATTCTATCATGTTATGGTCGCTTATCCCCAAGGAGTCTCGCACAGCTAGATTGTCAATGATTCAATTCTCATTACATAGCACCCAGTCTAAGATGGCCTACTCTCTAGTCAGTTCCCCCACACATTGGTCAAGAAAACCATCCCGTATACACTCCAGGAATTCCTCCTCCACGGCACTGTGGCTAATTTGATTTCCCCACCCATGATATTCCTTTATCACATGCATCTCTAATGTTCTGTTTATTGCCATTCCCAACATCCCCACTGCAGTTTGGGGTCTATATATGACACCCACTAATGTTGTTTGCCCCTTAGTATTTCTCAACTCTACCTTTACAACCTCCACATTGTTAGAGCTAATAGCCTTTCTCACTATTGTGTTAATTTCCTCTTTAGCAAGCAATGCCACTCCACCACCTTTTCCTTTTTGCCTGTCCTTCCTAAATACTGAATACCCTGGGACATTCAGTTTCCATCCCTGGTCACCCTGCAGCCATGTCACTGTAATCCCAATTATATCGTACCCGTTTACATCTATCTGCATGATTAGTTCATCCACTTTACTGCAAGTGCTCCGCACATTAAGGCACAAAGCCTTTAAGTTTGTCTTTTTAATAGTGTTTGTCTTGCTGTTATTTTTCTCAAGAGCCCTGTTTGAATTTGGTCTTTGGTTTCTCTGCTTATCAATTTTCTTATTCCTTTTTCTACCTTTTGTTTTTGACCTTGCTCCCTCTTTCTCTGCCTCCTGACACAGGTTCCTATCCCCAGCATATTAGTTTAAACCCTCCCCAACCACTCTAGTAAACACACCCCGCCCCACCGAAGGACATCAGTCCCAGTCCTGCCCAGCTGAAACCCATCCCATTTGTATAAAACCTACTTTGTCAACCAAGATTTTTATCATCTGACCTAACAGCTTTATGCATCCTGGTGTCAAATTATAGTTTGTAATGCTCCTATGAAGCAACTGAGCTTTTTTTAACAGTTAAAAGATTTATAAAGTTTTGTGTAAAACCAAAGCAGTTGGGATTGGGCATAGTTGGAAAGAAAACTGGTTGGCAGACAGAAAACAGGTTTTTTTTTGATTGGCAGGAGTGACTAGCGAGGTTTAACAGGGATCAGTGCTAGGACTTCAGCTATTCACACTATATGAACAATTTGAATGAGTGAACTAAATATCTCCAAATTTGTGGGTTACACAAAGCTGGGTGTGGGAGAGATCAAGCAATGAAGAGGTTGCAGATAAGCTTATCAAAATCACACTGAAGCAGGATCAGTGGGCAAATGCATGTTGAATGCCGTATATGGATAAATGTAAGGTTTGGAAGCAAGAACAGGAAGGCAGACTATCATCTGAATGGCTATAAGTTGAGGAGAAAGAATGTGCAATGAAACCTGGGTGTCCTCACATACCAGTCGCTGAAGGCACAGGAGGTTGTAAAGAAGGAAAATGGTATGTTAGCCTTCATAGCGGGCAGATTCATATACAGGAGCAAAGATATCTAGCTGCAATTAAATAGGGTCTTCATGAGGCTACACCTGGAATACTGCATGCAGTTTGTCTGTCCTTATCCAAGAAAGGAAGTTCTTGCTATTGAGGGAGTGCAGCAAAGGTTGACGAGACTGATTCCTGGGATAGGACTGATGAATGAGTAGTGTTAATCATATTTTGTTTAATATTCATTCGGGGATGTGGGCATCACTGGCTGACCAGCATTTATTGCCTATCCCTAGTACTCCGAGAAGGCGGCAATGAGCTGCCTTCTTAAACCACTGCAGCTCACATGCTGTAGGTTGACCTACAATGCCCTTAGGGAGGGAATTCCAGGATATTGACCCAGCAACAGCGAAAGAATGGCGATACATTTCCAACATAGGATGGTGAATGGCTTGGAAGGAAACTTGCAAGAGGTGTTGTTCCCATGTATCCGCTGCCCTTTTTCTTCTAGATGGAAGTGTGGGGGTTTGGAAGGTGCTGTTTAAGGATCTTTGGTGAATTTCTACGACACATCTTGTAGATGGTATATGCTGTTGCTACTGAATGGTGCTACTGAAAGGACTGGGTGCTTGTGGATGTGGTACCAATAAAGATGGCTGCTTTGCCCTGGATGGTGTCAAGCTTTGAGTGTTGGAGCTGCACCTATCCAGGCAAGTGGGTATTAATCCATCACACTCCTGACTTGTGCCTTGTAGATGGTGGACAGGCTTTGGGGAGTCAGGTGATTTACTTACCTCAGTACTCCTAGCCTCTGACCTGGCTCTAATAGCCACCATATTTATATGACAAGTCCAGCTGAGTTTCTGGTCAATGGTAACGATGAGGAATCAGTAATGGTAACACCATTAAAAGTCAATGGGTGGTGAATAGATTGTCTCTTATTGGTGATGGTCATAACCTGACATTTGCGTGGCTTGAATGTTACTTGCCATTAATCAGCCCAAGCCTGGATATTGTCCAGGTATTGCTGCATTTGGACATGGGCTGATTCAATATCTGAGGAGCTGTGAATGGTGTTGAACAGGGTGCAATAATTAATGAACATCCTCACTTTTGATATTATGATGGAGAGAAAGTCTCTGGGTTAACAGTCTAGTGATAATATCACTAGGCCATTGCCTCACCTTAGTTAGAATTTGATTCGTGTGTCATCAGAAGAATGAGGGAGGATTTCATGGAAACCTAAAAAATTCTAACTAGACAGGGTACATGCAGGATAGCTGTTCCTGATGGGTGGGCAAGTCCAGAATAAGGGGTAAAAATACGAGGTAAACCATTTAGGAGTGAGGTGAGGAGAAATTACTTCATGCACAGATTTTGGTGAGCCTGTGGAATTTGCTACCATAGAAAGCAGTCAAGGCCAAAATATTTTTCTAGGAGTTGGATATAGCACTCGGGGCTAAAGAGGCAAGGGATATGGGGTAAAGCAGGAACTGAATTGGATGATCGGACATGATCATAATGGTTGGCGGTGCGGGCTCAAACAGCTTAATGGCCTTTTCCTGCTCTTATTTTCTATGTTTCTATGTTTCGTATAAATGTAAGTAATAGTTAAATTAGTTTTATCTAGTTTTACATCAAGCATACTTTTATTCACGGGCTTTATTGAAATTAGTGCTATTGAAATGGGTGGGGGGTGAAGGTAACAAACTGAAACGTACAGGGATACAGGACAGCTAAACTATTTATACAAAGGCATTAATTTTCAATAGTGATACAGGAAATTTTGATTACACAACGTCAATTAAGTATCCATAATGGCTGGATTATATTTAATGCAAAGTGTCTTTCCTTAATGGTCCCAAGCGGTTAGTAAACATCTTTACCTTTGAAATGAGTAGACGAAGGGCTCTTCAGACACTTCACAACAGTCCACACTTCATTGAAGTATGTACCCTTCAGGAGCATGAATACAGATAATCTGCATTAAGTGCATAAATTCTCAAAGATAGAAAAGTTCTAAATCAACAGCAGTCTATTGTTCAAACTTATTATGCACACTATTTTTGATGATACAGAAGCCTTCAGATAAATGTTCACTATCTCCAAATTAAAGACAACCTTTTCTAATTCTCAACGAAATGCTATATCATACATTATTAGCCAACCAGACGGGTAACAGGGTAACAAGTGTCTGCTGCAACCAACTTGAATGATGCAGCTGTTAATGCCACTCCAAGACAGCTTTCTAAACGACAAGTGGCAACATATACTTCTACAAATATCATAAAGAAGCACAGTTTACACTGATGATATATTTATTACTGCTTCATTAACAAACCTGTTAACACATTCATTAAAAATCAAGTGATTACATTGCGCAAGTATCTCAATGGTTGAGAAATGCTTTAGGATGGCCCAAGATTTGAAATATACTTATATTTAAAATAATTTTCCTTCTTTCTAAGCATTATTTCTACACAAATTAGATGTCACAGCCACATCAGCCTTTCCAGAAGTGTCTATGGCTATGCATTGACTCCAAATGGGGCAGGATTGAAGCAATATCCATATGCATAAACGGAGGCAACCAAATGTTGAACCAAATGGAATTTGTTTCTTTATTGTCACTGGGTCAAAATTAAGGAAGTCTGGCCTTAACATCACTGTGGGCGAATCTACACCACATGAAATGCAATGATTCAAGCGGGTAGCTCACCAACACCTTAAAGAACAATTAGAACAACCTGCAAGAACATAGGACCAGGAACAGATTATATAGTAATTTGAGTCTGCAGCGAAACATGGAGAACATCTAATCCAAACTGATACATTCACGCCAGACAAGAGCTATGCAATCAGAGATAGTAGGAACTGCAGATGCTAGAGAATCCGAGACAACAAGGTGCAGAGCTGGATGAACACAGCAGGCCAAGCAGCATCATAGGAGCAGATGACCATTTCCAACATAATAGAACCAAACTATCACTCTTCTACATTTAAATAACATTGCCATCACTGAATTCACTAATATAAGCAGCCTGGGGTTACCATTGACCAAAAAGTGAACTGAACCAGCCATATAAATACTGTGATAACAAGGCAAGAAAGTGGTTGGGGAATTCTGTATTGGATAATGTTATGAACAGACCAAACCCCCTTAAAACGTATCAAGGAGACAGCCTAGACCCTAACTTTTATCTGATTTAAGGCGCTGTGTTCCAGACGTGATTCAATTTGTCAAACTACTAGGCTTTAAGCAAAACACACTTTATTTTTACACCACAGTTAAAATACAAACAAAAAAACAAGTGGCATAACTGTAATATGTCTTTTAACTACTACTCATCAACTGCTCCAATTTGGAATATCCCATAAACACACCATTGGCAAAGGTAAATTCAGCAAAACAGATCTCCCTCACTTGTTATTTCCAGTCCAGGAGAAGGAACACAAACAAAACAAATCTAACAACAGAACTCAAGCTTTTGCAGCAGCGAGAAAGAGAGAGCTGTATCTAGCAGGTTCAACTCCTAAACCCTAACTTCAACAACCAATAGGAAAAACTAAAACCCTGGATCGGAGACAGCCTGGCTCCACCCACTCATGCTTCTTTTGTCTAACTTAAAAAAAACCAAAGCTATTTATTCTGCTTTCCATGGAGCAGATGCCTCTCCACCAGATTTACAACATTTCTCTTTAAGTGAAACGAAACAGAATGAATCCCTATTAAAGGCATATTTTGTCACATGATTCCCCTCAACCTGTCCACCATCTACAAGGCTCAGATAGAAGTGTGATAGAATACTCCCCACTTACTCGGATGGGTGCAGCTCCAACGAGACTCAATATGTGACAACACCCTGGACAAAGAGGCAACTCAATTAGCACACCATCCCCACCTTCAACATTCACTTCCTTCATCACTGACACACAGTGGCAGCAGTGTGCATCATCTACAAGACACACTGCATCAACTCACCAAAGCTACTTCAGAAATCACATGACAGCAGGTTATAGTCCAACAGGTTTATTTGAAAACACAAGCTCTTGGAGCCTCAGTCCTTCACTAACACAAATAAACCCGTTTTCAAACAAACCTGTTGGACTATAACCTGGTGTTGTGTGATTTCTGACCTAGTCAACCCCAGTCCAACACCGGCACCTCCACATCAAAGCTACTTCGACAGCACTTTCCAAACCAACACTGCTTAGAGAGAGGAGGGAAGCAGATGCAAGGGACCATCACCTGCAAGATACCCAAATTACTCACCCTCTTCAATTGGAACTATATCACCATTCCTTCAGTGTTGTCAGCTCAAAATCCTGAATTCACTGAACAGTACATTGGATGCTCCTACACCTCAAAGACTGCAGCAGAGTAAGGATGCAGCATAGCAATTGATGTCCACATTCTCCTGGCTCATTAAAAAACAAATGAAATGGTTTCTAAGTACTCGGCTGTCTTTAGTATCTTAGAATTGAAATCTTGCCTTCATCATTCAGGAAGTACAACGCTAGTTTGTGCAATCTGCAGCCTAAATATCATTCTGCTAATCTTACACTGCACTCCCTCTCACATCACAAGGAAACAAAATCTTGCTCAATCCTAAACTTCTCTTCCACTGTTACCTCTAACTGTAATCACCTCCCCAACTACTGCCATCCTGTTTCTCCAACCTTTTCTTTCACTATCATCTATCATCTTTCACTATCACTTCTCTAATACTGATCATATTCCTCCATATTTCTAGCAGCTAGATAGGAATAAATATCTGCAAAAGCAAAGGTTTATTATTCTCTGAAGTCTTTAAACTTAAAATTCAATTTTCCTTTCACAATTCAAACCCTAAATGTATCAGTGGGTCATGATGGTCGTTCCCATAAATGAAGGAAGTGTCATTAGTGTGAAAGACTCTGGTTATTGTATAGTTATTGTTTTTTTCTGAATTTTAAAAACTTCAGGTCAATGCAGTCATGTTATTAACAATTCACTTCAGTGAATTACTGTTTTTGATTTCAGGTTAGTGAGCCTTTACTGGATTTGATAGACATCAATATGAGAGAACACTGCAGTAGAATTCAAAAGACTGACCACCAATTTGCAGAATAACCAGCTTATAAAACATGTAAGTATACAGGCAGATGCTTAATTAAGTGATTAAAAAGCATTTAAAGTATGATGATGAAAGGTCACAGACAAATGCCGACTCTATTCCTCTAACCAGAGATGCTACCAGACCCCAGTGTTTACAGCATGTTATGTTTTTATTTCACATTTTTGGCACCTGGGTTGTTTTTGTATTTAGGGATATGTTCTCAGCTAAAAATTCACACTTCAGTCATACGAATCATTATTCACAACTTAAAATCGAGCTTGTGGATTCCTGGAGATAATCAATTGCCCAACAACTTCATAACAAGTGCTGATTCTTCTGTTTGATTTATTGTTGTCACATGTACCTAAGTACAGTGGCACGTTTTTGTTTTGTGTGCAGTACAGGCAGGTAATACATACAAGGACAAATAGATCATAGGGTGTTTAGGCAGAGCGAGGCACACAAGGTTATGGCTGCACAAGAGGTGCACCAAAGCAAGATCAACATTAGATTTGAAATGTGAGCGGTCCATTCAGCAGTGTAATAATAGCAGGGAAGATGCTGTTCTTCAATCTGTCAGTATGTGCATTTAAACTTCCCTATCTTCTGCCTGATAGCAAAGGTTGGAAGAGAGTGTTAATCAGGGTTGGTGGAACCTTTGATGATTTTGGCCGCCTTTCCGTGGCAATGGGAGGTATACATGGAGTCCATGAATGGGATTTTGGTTTGTGAGATGGTCTGGGCTGTGTTCGTAAATTTCTGTTGTTTCTTATGATCCTGGACAGAGCAGTTGTCACACCAAGCTGTGTTACACCCAGATAGAATGCTTTCTGTGGTGCATCTGTAAAAGCTGAGGGTCCTATGGACATGCTGAATTTCCTTAGCCTCCTGAGGAAGAAGAGCTGTTGTTGTGCCTTCTTGACTGTTGCATTTAAGCGATTCTTTTTTTCTCAGCCAGAAAAAAAATGACAACGTATCTTTTTGAGTATGCAATGGTCAAAAAAGCATTATTAATGCAGTGGCATTATAATAAATATGATCATTTGATAAATTACTGCAAAACATTCAAAGTTTCAATATAAAAGACAGTATGCATAAATAGGAGATTTTCACACAGGCAGGATACAATGAATAGGAATCCAAAGGGTTCAGTGCTGGGCCTCAACATTTTATAACATCTATAAATGACTCAGGTGAGGGAAACAAAGACATGGTGGCTAAATTTGCAGGTGACAAAGGCAGATAGAAAAGTATGTTATGAAGATGATACAACAAG